GAGTGCATACTGATAAGATTAACGATCTCATAATTTTTACTGACTATGCTTTTTTGCTATTGATTGGCTTCCTGGTACATGTTAAAAAAAAATAATATTTTTGCTCATATTTGTATAAATATTTTTATATTTGCCTGTTTTTTTTTTGACTCACTCTAAAGGTTCTTTCTGAGGAGGGGCTCCAGCTGTGCTCATCTCTCCGCACTTTTTCCACTCAGGTATATACTGATACAATATATCTTTCTTGGACATACACACCCACATAGTTTAAGGCTGCATACTAAATCATTATGTGCTCACATAATGTCATTTCCAAATCTTCTTGCACATTAAATATTTAGAAGAAAGAAACCAAAATATGCTGTCTTTTAGTAATAGTAATAAAATCATGTGTGTGGTGAAATATTAAAAAACATAAAAAAGAAATTCTCTACATGAATCTGACTGACTACAGTATTCTGATAGGCAACTGTAGATGTAAACATAGAACTGCGTAAATGAAGCCAAAAAGCAAACAAAACTATTTATTTGGAGCAGTCTGAGCTGCTAACCCATCTGTATGCAAATACATACACACGCTGGCACCTGTACTCCCAACATTGTTATGCCTCTCACACACATACACACTCATGTCACCTATTCTGGCATGCCATGGTGCCAGATCCACCTTATAAATCACACAGCGAGAGCAGGAAATTAAGGCTGTCACACACTTTCCTCATCCTTTTTTTTTCTTCGAGTTGGGGTCCAACAAACAAATGTAGTCTCAGCGCCTTCCTTCCTCATGCCTGCCACCGACTTCTTCCCCAGGTCCTCCAAGTTTAATTAAACAGCTCTTCTTGACAGCCATTAATGACTGGCATTTGTCACTTCTGTCTGGGGGAGGGTGCACATGTGCCGACGAGATGAGAGAGGGGGAGTTTACCGAGACCGCCCAGGACTAATTCATAATGAGGAGGCTGAACTCTTCAACTTGCCTCACACTTTCTGATTAATTACATCAAATAAAGTGGTGCTAATGGAGTCCCTCTGTCTCACCCTCCATTTCCATAGTTCTTTAGCATTTATCACACTTATAGCACAGCTGTGTTGCCCTCACTGAAAATTATGAACGTACTTATGCAGATGAGCGTGAGCATTTTTAATTGGGGTTTAAGACATTTTATGTACTTTTCTCACAGTCATGAATAGTATTACCTGGAATAAAAGAGTTTTTGTTTGTAGGTCATTAGTGCCCATGCTATTGAAGTAGTATGCTGGCACCCGTGACTGAGATCTGGGGATTAACTCAGCTGGATGAGACTTAAGCAGTAGATCATGACCTGCCTGTTGCTGATGGATTAAATCAACCAGCACTTAATTTTTTATTTATTTTATCACCTTTTTTTATGATGTTTGATTTGTGTTTGACTTAGGTCACTATAAATCTGGTCCAGTAAATCTCTCAGTGTCCGTACATATTAACCTAGACCCGATGGATCATAAACCATGTCTGCTGTCCTGAAAGACATCCCCCCTATCTTTCTCTGTTCCAGCTGGTTGATGAGGAAAAGTCTGTGGTGATGACAGAGATGGAGAAACTGGTGGCATTATGCCAACAGCTGCAGATGGGGGCCAAGACTCCTGTACAGGGCAAGACTGCCACCTTCCAGAAGGTACCCATACTACGCCTGTGTGTGTGTGTGTGTGTGTGCGTGTGTGTGTGTGTGTGTGTGCATCTGTTTTTGTATGTGTGTAAACTTATTATAAAAATGTATCAATGACTCATTTTTCCTTGAGTCTGTTCTGCCGATATGTGTTAAATTAGTAACATCACAAAGAGTGTACAGGACAGACTCACTGTAGGCTTTTTCTTAAAGGTGTAATTAGACAGCAAAAGAACTACATCCCTAACAACAAACGGGCATCAGTGAAGTATGGAGCACAGAATAAAGCATGACTAACGTGATCAGCGAGTAACACCATTATCAAACACAGGGCGCTAGATGAATGAATGTCTATGACAAATTAATGAGCATCTTGGGCAGAAGTGAGGTGCCTTAGGTCACTTTATAATAAAGGCGAAGGTTGGGAATAGTGTGTGTCATCTGCTGATTAATGAGCATCTCTTTGTTATGTATTGGCTTCCATTTCTATGTCTGTCTATCTTGTCCATGTTATCATTCATCACTAATAGTGGAGTGTGTGCTTGTCAGGCGTTGAGGGAGCACCAATGAGGAAATGTTAAGTTATATGACAAATGCAGTTAGATAGTGATATGTGTGTGTGTGTGACCAGGTACTCATGTTGTGGGGATGTAAATCTGTTTACAGTCACATTGTGGCAACTCAATGTCCTTGGGAACAAAGGGTTAGGCAAATAGTGGTTATGATTAAGGTTAGGGTAAGTCTCAAGTGATGGTATGTCAGTGTATGTGCCCTGAAATGCTGAAAACACAACGTGTTTGTGTGTTTGGTTGACTCCTCAGTTGTTTGTATACACTTGTGCTTTTGCATTGGTTGTTTGTATACACTTGTGCTTTTGCATCTAGTGTGTATCTGTGCTGTTCCCTCTTAAAGTATTAAATGTGCAGCATGTGAGATTTAATGACATCTAGCGGTGAGGTTGTGGATTGCAACATTCAGCAAAGCTCTCACACATCGTGTTAAACAGCCATCACTGCCGTTTGACAATGGTTACCGTAAATGTAGGACAAATTGCGCACTCTGAAAACAAGCATGGCCACCTGACGGCACTGGCCATATTCTGGCCAAAGCTATCAAACAAAAACTTGCATTAAGGTTAACTTTACTTGTTATGCTAAATTATCTATATAGCAGAAAACAAGCAACTTCGGCATCATTCTGGAAATATTTGTCCTTCATCAAGGATTTCCGTCTGGGAAAGGCCCCACCAGTGTTTATCCTCATCTTGTGTCAGTATAATTATGGTCCTCCATTTCTTCAAATTATAGTTCTTAAACTCACGACAATGCTTCCTCTTGTTTCTAATGTTACTTCTTTGTTTTCCAAGCTCCTCCAAATCCAAGCTGTTACCTCAGTGTGAAATCACGAAATTTATGCTCTAGAGCCACTGTGGGGTTTGTCCATTCTGGGATACTGTAAAAAAGCATGGTGGCCTCTGTGATAGGGGACCCACTCTTATGTACATATAAAAGTTTCATTCTAAGCCAAAAAAAATGCAACAGTTCAAATTTTCTGGTGCTTACACATTAGTGAAAATGTGATAGTGCATACTAGAGCCAATTTCTGCTAACAAATCCTTACATGTAGATCTTACACAGTGCTCCTTTAATGTATATTTGTATTGTTGTGTTTCTAGGTGGACTCCTCCATTCAGACTACCAGAAGCATTTTGACTATGGTCCTCTTCCTCCTCCCATTCTGTAACAAGCTCAATAGAAAGGTGATAACCATTGAACAGTATTTCTGACTGGATGACTGGCTCTTAGTTTAGCTTGGCAAGCTACATGGAAATCTACCAAAGTCTACCAAGAAAGACTCAGTAGCCCAACAAAGTTATTAAGCCTACAATAATAGATTTGGTTTCTTAATCCTAAAGTTTTCTATTTATACATTCTGCAGATATCTAGTGAGGCTGGCATTCGTACGGGGTCATGTAACTGGCCACTTGGTAAATATAAGTCCAATATACAGTCTTAGCTTCTGCAAAAAAATATCTAGCCCTTTAAATGATAAGGGTTATCACTGAGCAGCTAGTGTACCATGGGTGTTGAGAACATTTTCACAGAAAACAGCTGCCTGCTCTATTGTAAAACAGTGCAGATGAGAATAACAAAAGTAAACCAAAAGCTTAAAGATGTAGACTGTAAAACCCAAACAGTGAGCTGAAAGACAAGCTTCCACTCAGTAGAGATGAGGGGAACTGCAGAGTTGGGTGATAATTCAACAAGGGTCCATCAATACAAGCAACCCCTTTGGCATACAAGTGGTCTAGTCATTTGATCCATTTTTAATGAAACAAAAAATTCATGTTTATTCATTGTAGCAGCTTCAAGTGTATTTATTTTAATAGCTAAAAGACTAGTGTTGTATATTTTTGTCCATTTGCAGTACAAGTCAGAGAGGAGCAGCTTGGGTTCCCCGCAGGACTGGAAAGAGAGGCAGGATGCAACCTCTCCTGTCAAAGAGCAGGGAGCTCATAACAACAAAAACAGCAATGGCTTTGGTGTCAAATCCTTGGAGCAACACATGGCAGGTCTCAATCTACTGGAGAGCAAATAATCTAGGAAATGACCTCCTTTGTCCACTGATCTCCCCCTGAAGCAGCCTTTCTGGAAAACATGTCATTCAGGAAATGGGGTGAAAATGGTTACCTTGGTTCAGTCAAGTTTATATTTGCTGTCTGGATGGTGAATTTATAGGTTTAGAGAGGAAAAGGCAGATCCAAGCTCTCTGTGCTCAGGGGCAGTTTTACCCCAAAGTGGCTTGTTACCTGAAACACCTGTTTTACCCCAGTCCATAAGATGGAGACAATCAGCCAACACGAAGACTTTGCCATTAGCAGTGAGCCTCCTGAGAAAGAGGTTCGGCACAAACCAGATTTTGGAGTCACTTATCACTTCTCTTTCTAGTGAGTTGATAAACTGATCATGAATCAGGAAAGAACTCCATTCAATACTCAGCCATACATCTGTCTTCACTATGTGCCTCTGTGTAAGAAGCCTATTTGCTTTTGTGGTGTAAACATTTTGCACATATTAGCCAAATGGAAAAAAAAAAAAAAAAAACTGGCTAAAAACCCACCATGCATGATACCATCATCACCAAATCCTTGTGTTTTGAGTCTCCTATTCTCAATGTGGCATAGCCTTGTATTGTTAACACTTGTTATGTAATGCTAGCTATAGTGGTACATTCTGTCCTTGATCACTGGCACTGTAGCCAGTATCTTAAATGGACTAATAGGTATTTTAAAAGTCCAACACCCTATATGATTAAAATCTCATTTCCATACAATTAACTATGGAATGTTCCTCATGTGCCAAGTAAGTAGCCAAAAAAAGAAAACATTTTAATGCCAAATAAGACTATCTTTATTAAGATGCTGTGATCTTCACTTGCTACTAGTATGCTATTTAAAGCTCTGTCTTCCAGTGTTAATTACTGGAGATATATTTTTATTTGGCCTTGGTTTCTCTAAAATGTCAGTTGGTAAAGATTAATCTTTTCACTCAGATGCTTTTGTTCTGAGTATTATCAAACCATATTCTTTGTATATGGCTATACTCTGACCTTTTTTTCTTCACATATGAAACAAAAGCTAATTCTAAAGTGGCACCCATGTCAAATGGAGCCTTGAAGTGTACTTGTTATGAAGACTATCATTGTGAAGCTGCCTAGCAGACCCATATGTATTAAAAGGAATATGGTAAGTATAATATGGTACTTGAATCATAGATATATACACAGTATGTATCATAAGGTAATGACTTTGGCATTAGGGGAGCTATGATAATGACTGAAATGAATAACATACATTAAGCTTTAGGGATGCTTTGTACAGTGCGAGAGCAGCTAGAGATGTTGGGTATTGTAGTGGCTCTATAGATATGAAGAAATCATAAAACTAGTTTTGGACCATCTATTCTTGTGACAATTGAAAGGTTAGTAAAAGTGACAAAAATAAACAATATTTTTCTTAAATCACTGTTGGTTGTTTTTAATGATTTTCTACAAAAATAACTAACTCAAGATATGGAAACTACAGAATTCAAATAATCTGTTATGCTTACCAAACAATAAACAGAGCACTCCAAAACGTGAGTGCTCCATGAGCAGTGAAAATGAAGGTATAATCATTTATAGGCACAGTGCAATGTTTGTGTATATGTTAAAGTCCTTTAGAAGTGAATGTCACTTTTCCAGGTTAGTGTCCGTAGCTTGTAGCCAACATGATGGGGTTTAACACTTCATCAACAAGGTAATAAAAGCTCTGTCAAGATGGTTGTGATTCAGCAACCTTTCGTTTGGCGAGGACACTCTCAAACTCTTCTCTGCTCAGAAGATTCTCTGTTATGCTTTTGCTCTCCTCAAACTTAGGCAGGATGACAGCAATGTATCCCTCAGTGGACGGCTGTTCCAAAGTGAGAGACAAAGCACTATTAAAAGATTTGTTTTGCAAATGTGAACCACTGACTACATTGACAGAGGCACAACTGTAACTTATTAACAATACACATTATTAAATTCAGCTGAACAAGCAGATGTGTGTGTAAAGATAACATTACAATGTAAAAAAATATATACCATTTACCTTTTCTAGCAAGAGAGTAGGTGTTTCTAAAATACTCTCATTGACCTCAAGAAGTCGGCCCCGAATGCAGCTAAAAGGATGAAAAGCGTGACTGATAAGAGACATACAACAATGCAGAATGAACGCCTAGAATAACAAGACTGTTGCCTCACCTGTAGACTGTGTATTCAGTTTCATCTGTGCATGTTATCCTACACAGAGGTGCGAAATCGGTAAGGAACTGACCTCCCTATAATGACAGAAAAATAAAAATGTGTGAAGCCAAGACACTCGATTATACACCGAGACTAAAATGATCTGCAGCTTCATGAAGTTACCCGCTTGGACTTCCCAGAGACTTTATTATTCAGCCGACTGCAGACGTTACTGATTTGGTAATTGATACTTTTGATTGTACGCCCACTCTGGAGGATCGGGTGGGTCTCTGCTAACGTCACGACGCATATTCTGCAGGAAACGAACACAAATCTAGAAGTATGTCTTTAAAAAGAATTCCAAACGTTAACAATACAAGTGTGTGTGTGCAATGGCTGTGGATCAACGTTATAAATCTCATTACAGAACGGTTTCCTCTATATTAATGGTCAATTGGTGTATACTCAATTACCATTTAAAATAATGAGTAGTTGTTTAGTCGTTATTATCACTACCTGTTTGAATGCTGCAGGATGCAATGGTCCTCACATGGTTTCCCCTTCAAATCTGCATAAAACGAGAAAATAATTTTAACGTATTCGTCACATTTCCTATTAATTTACGCCGGCTAATTTTACTGAGTGCTCCCCCGAGCCTTCAGCTAACCTTAGGCGACATAGCTACCAAATGGCTAACACAACACAATTTACCGGCTCTGTACCACCGCGTGTAATATCGGTCGATAACGGAAGGCGCATTTGCTTGTGTGTCTTTCTGCTCTCCGCCATCCATCAGAAGTTTTCACAACACGGGGTCTAACAAAAACACTACTATGTTTCAATGCCTCAGCTCGGCTAATCCACTACTTTGCTTGACGGACAGAAAATTGTGTGGCATCGTGCTGTGTCCGTCTTTCAAAAGCTCCGGAAGCCAATGGTTCCGGAAAGGTTTTTGTCGCTGCTTTGAGGATTGAAGAGGTGAATTCGACTTTTTAGAAAAGTACAGTACATTAAAGAAAATCTTAATCGAGTACAGCAGTAAAAAAATAAAATAAATAAATAAATAAATAAATAAATAAATAAATAAATAATAAAAAATAAAAAACGATTATTTTTGTGACATGAAGTTGTCAGTTGGAAGTTATAGTCGTATATAGCTTTTTAATAAAAGAGCTATATACGACTATAATTTATATTGAATCTAGATAATTTATATACATTTATATTGCCTTATGTATTTAGGACTTTTCAGCTTTAATGCTCAGTTTAAAACATTTGTAATAAAACAAATTTTAAAAAATTATGAAACGTAATAAGTCACATTATTTTGATGAAATAATTAAAGTTATTTATTTATTGATTATTTATGCCATTTTTGACAGGGTAACTAGAAACTGTAACCCATTAGACTACACTTCTATAGTAACCTTCCCAACACTGCAGAACAGTAGCCTATTGATCAGTTTTGGTCATCAGAATTTGAATTTCCTCCCTACACATCCTGTATTCTATTCATACCAGCCTTATGGCCATTTGAAGGTGCTATTCATCTGTCAAATTAGGCCCACCTTCAGTACCAATTAGCAAAATTTTTGAAAGTAGAGACATTTCTTGACAACTGGTCTTGCCACATAAAGTTGCCACACTGATTTATTTCACGCTTCTCATGCACAAGGCTTGATTGCCAAATTGCCGAACAACTGACCCTTGGCCCAAGTTAACCTGTTCGTGGTCATGCCAGTATAAACTGTAGTGTTTTTTTCAGTGACATGATGTAAAAACATTTTTTTACATTGTCCACAAGATGTCAGACTACTGCTAACAACTACTGGATAAGTTATAGTCAATGTGTACACATGCAAACTCCTCAGATGACATCAAACATTATTCACACCCAGATCTCAACATGATGCGGTTACATGTTCATATTTTTCAACTATCTCTAGCTAAATGTTTTCAGATTTAATTCACAGGCATTTTTTATGTCTAAACCACTTAAACAATACCATTGTTATATGTCATCCCACAGTGTCTGGGATCATCTGTGTACTGTAATTTCCATACTTATCTGTGTCTTTTGGTCCCCAAACCGGACTCTCTTCAGCCCCTGGCTGTGCCTAGAAATTCTGTCCATAAAAATAATGAACAGAACCGGTGACAAAGGGCAGCCCTGCCGGAGTCCAACATGCACTGGAAACAAGTCTGACTTACTGCCGGCGATGCGAAC